CTGAAAACATTCACTTCTTCCATACTTCTCCACCCCAATTTGATATCCAATTTTTCTTTATCTAAATCATTTGACACCCTCATCACCTTACTCTTTTCTATGTTCACTTTCAACTTTCTACCTTTACACACATTCCCAAACTCATCCACTAACCTTTGAAATTTTTCTTCAGAATCTCCCATAAGCACAGTATCATCAGCAAAAAGTAACTGTCAATTCCCATTTTGAATTTGATTCCCCAAAATTTAATCCCACCCCTCTCCCGAACACCCTTAGCATTTACTTCCTTTACAACCCCATCTATAAATATATTAAAGAACCATGGTGACATTACACATCCCTGTCTAAGACCTACTTTTACGGGAAGTAGTCTCCCTCTCTTCTACACACCCTAACCTGAGCCCCACTATCCTCATAAAAACTCTTTATAGCATTTAATAACTTACCACCTATTCCATATACTTGCAACATCTGCCACATTGCTCCTCTATCCACTCTATCATATGCCTTTTCTAAATCCATAAATGCAATAAAAACTTCCTACCTTTATCTAAATACTTTTCACATATATGCTTCAATGTAAACACTTGATCTACACATCCCCTACCCACTCTGAAACCTCCTTGCTCATCCGCAATTCTACATTCTGTCTTACCTCTAATTCTTTCAATTATAACCTACCATACACTTTTCCTGGTATACTCAGTAAACTTATTCCTCTATAATTTTTACAATCTCTTTTGTCCCCTTTCCCTTTATATAAAGGGACTATACATGCTCTCCGCCAATCCCTAGGTACCTTCCCCTCTTTCATACATTTATTAAACAAAAGACCAACCACTCCAACACTATATCCCCCACTGCTTTTAACATTTCTGTCATGATCCCATCAGTTCCAGCTGCTTTACCCCCTTTCATTTTACGTAATGCCTCACGTACCTCCCCCACACTTACATTCTGCTCTTCTTCACTCCTAAAAGATGGTATACCTCCCTGACCAGTGCATGAAATTACTGCCTCTGTTTCTTCCTTAAACATTTAAAAGTTCCTCAAAATATTCTCGCCATCTACCTAATACCTCCATCTCCCCATCTACTAACTCCCCTACTCTGTTTTTAACTGACAAATCCATACTTTCCCTAGGCTTTCTTAACTTGTTTAACTCACTCCAAATTTTTTTCTTATTTTCATTAAAATTTCTTGACAGTGCCTCTCCCACTCTATCATCTGCTCTCCTTTTGCACTCTCTCACCACTCTCTTTACCTTTCTTTTTACTCTCCATATACTCTGCTCTTCTTATAACACTTCTGCTTTGTAAAAACCTCTCATAAGCTACCTTTTTCTCTTTTATCACACCCTTTACTTCATCATTCCACCAATCACTCCTCTTTCCTCCTGCCCCCACCCTCCTATAACCACAAACTTCTGCCCCAACATTCTAATACTGCATTTTTAAAACTATTCCAACCCTCTTCAACCCCCCCACTACTCATCTTTGCACTAGCCTACCTTTCTGCCAATATTCGCTTATATCTCACCCGAACTTCCTCCTCCCTTAGTTTATACACTTTCACCTCCCTCTTACTTCTTGTTGCCACCTTCCTCTTTTCCCATCTACCTCTTACTCTAACTGTAGCTACAACTAAATAATGATCCGATATATCAGTTGCCCCTCTATAAACATGTACATCCTGGAGCCTACCCATCAACCTTTTATACAACAATACATAATCTAATAAACTACTTTCATTACGTGCTACATCATACCTTGTATATTTATTTATCCTCTTTTTCATAAAATATGTATTACTTATTACCAAATCTCTTTCTACACATAGCTCGATTAAAGGCTCCCCATTTACATTTACCCCTGACACCCCAAATTTACCTACTACTCCCTCCATAACATTTTTACCCACTTTAGCATTGAAATCCCCAACCACCATTACTCTCACACTTGATTCAAAACTCTCCACGCATTCACTCAACATTTCCCAAAATCTCTCTCTCTCCTCTACACTTCTCTCTTCTCCAGGTGCATACATGCTTATTATAACCCACTTTTCACATCCAATCTTTATTTTACTCCACATAATCCTTGAATTAATACATTTATAGTCCCTCTTTTCCTGCCATAGCTTATCCTTCAACATTATTGCTACTCCTTCTTTAGCTCTAAACTCTATTTGAAACCCCTGACCTAATCCCATTTATTCCTCTCCACTGAAACTCTCCCACCCCCTTCAGCTTTGTTTCACTTAAAGCCAGGACATCCAGCTTCTTCTCATTCATAACATCCACAATCATATCTTTCTTATCATCTGCACAACATCCACGCACATTCAGACTTCCCACTTTGACAATTTTCTTCTTCTTATTCTTTTTAGTAATCTTTACAGGAAAAGGGGTTACTAGCCCATTGTTCCCGGCATTTTAGTTGACTTTTACAACACGCATGGCTTACGGAGGAAAGATTCTTATTCCACTTCCCCATGGGTATAAAAGGAAAAGTAATAAGACCAAGAACTATTAAGATAAAATAAAAGAAAACTCAGATGAGTGTGTATAAATAAATGTGTACATGTATGTGTAGTGTGACCTAAGTGTAAGTAGAAGTAGCAAGACATACCTGTAATCTTGCATATTTATGAGACAGACAAAAGACACCAGCAATCCTACCATCATGTAAAACAATCACAGGCTTTCGTTTTACACTCACTTGGCAGGACGGTAGTACCTCCCTGGGTGGTTGCTGTCTACCAACCTACTACCTATGAAATGCAAGCCTAAAATAAAGAGAAGAATTAATATTCAAAGCACATCACTAGTTACTAAGTCATTTAGCAATAAGGATGTGTATAATGAAAATATCATTTGTGGTCAAGTAAGCTAAAAGGAGAAATGGCATTCTCTTTACAATCCCTTTACATTATTTCTGCTGTAGTGCTTGAGTAGGTGATGCAGATTAATTAACAATATCTTTTAAATGTTGAGGAAGAAAGGGAGGTGGTAATTTCATGCACTGGCCAGGGAGGTATACCATCTTCTAGGAGTGAAGAAGAGCAGAATGTAAGTGTGGTGGAGGTACGTGAGGCATTACGTAGAATGAAAGGGGGTAAAGCAGCTGGAACTGATGGGATCATGACAGAAATGTTAAAAGCAGGGGGGGATATAGTGTTGGAGTGGTTGGTACTTTTGTTTAATAAATGTATGAAAGAGGGGAAGGTACCTAGGGATTGGCGGAGAGCATGTATAGTCCCTTTATATAAAGGGAAAGGGGACAAAAGAGATTGTAAAAATTATAGAGGAATAAGTTTACTGAGTATACCAGGAAAAGTATACGGTAGGGTTATAATTGAAAGAATTAGAGGTAAGACAGAATGTAGAATTGCGGATGAGCAAGGAGGCTTCAGAGTGGGTAGGGGATGTGTAGATCAAGTGTTTACATTGAAGCATATATGTGAACAGTATTTAGATAAAGGTAGGGAAGTTTTTATTGCATTTATGGATTTAGAAAAGGCATATGATAGAGTGGATAGAGGAGCAATGTGGCAGATGTTGCAAGTTTATGGAATAGGTGTTAAGTTACTAAATGCTGTAAAGAGCTTTTATGAGGATAGTGAGGCTCAGGTTAGGGTGTGTAGAAGAGAGGGAGAATACTTCCCGGTAAAAGTAGGTCTTAGACAGGGATGTGTAATGTCACCATTGTTGTTTAATATATTTATAGATGGGGTTGTAAAAGAAGTAAATGCTAGGGTGTTCGGGAGAGGGGTAGGATTAAATTATGGGGAATCAAATTCAAAATGGAATTGACACAGTTACTTTTTGCTGATGATACTGTGCTTATGGGAGATTCTAAAGAAAAACTGCAAAGGTTAGTGGATGAGTTTGAGAATGTGTGTAAAGGTAGAAAGTTGAAAGTGAACATAGAAAAGAGTAAGGTGATGAGGGTATCAAATGATTTAGATAAAGAAAAATTGGATATCAAATTGGGGAGGAGGAGTATGGAAGAAGTGAATGTTTTCAGATACTTGGGAGTTGACGTGTCGGCGGATGGATTTATGAAGGATGAGGTTAATCATAGAATTGATGAGGGAAAAAAGGTGAGTGGTGCGTTGAGGTATATGTGGAGTCAAAAAACGTTATCTATGGAGGCAAAGAAGGGAATGTATGAAAGTATAGTAGTACCAACACTCTTATACGGATGTGAAGCTTGGGTGGTAAATGCAGCAGCGAGGAGACGGTTGGAGGCAGTGGAGATATCCTGTCTAAGGGCAATGTGTGGTGTAAATATTATGCAGAAAATTCGGAGTGTGGAAATTAGGAGAAGGTGTGGAGTTAATAAAAGCATTAGTCAGAGGGCAGAAGAGGGGTTGTTGAGGTGGTTTAGTCATTTAGAGAGAATGGATCAAAGTAGAATGACATGGAAAGCATATAAATCTATAGGGGAAGGAAAGAGGGGTAGGGGTCGTCCTCGAAAGGGTTGGAAAGAGGGGGTAAAGGAGGTTTTGTGGGCGAGGGGCTTGGACTTCCAGCAAGCATGCATGAGCGTGTTAAATAGGAGTGAATGGAGACGAATGATATTTGGGACCTGACAATCTGTTGGAGTGTGAGCAGGGTAATATTTAGTGAAGGGATTCAGGGAAACCGGTTATTTTCATATAGTCGGACTTGAGTCCTGGAAATGGGAAGTACAATGCCTGCACTTTAAAGGAGTGGTTTGGGATATTGGCAGTTTGGAGGGATATGTTGTGTATCTTTATACGTATATGCTTCTAAACTGTTGTATTCTGGGCACCTCTGCAAAAGCAGTGATAATGTGTGAGTGTGGTGAAAGTGTTGAATGATGATGAAAGTATTTTCTTTTTGGGTATTTTTTTTTTTTTGGGTCACCCTGCCTCGGTGGGAGATGACCGACTTGTTGAAAAAAAAAAAAAAAATCTTTATTATTGATGACATCATCAATCCAAGGAATGCGTTATTAACTTTCTGTCCTCACCCGTCTCCCTATTCTGCTGTGCCACTTGCCATCGCCACCGTCGCCACAATGGACGGCTAAACTGACTTCGGGTTAAGAATTCATGTAGGGCTTTGCGGAGGGTAAGCAAGCGGTCGTGAAATCCCCACATCCCTGTTAATTAATAAAGGTTAAAGATTATTAACCAATAGGAGCCATCTTGCCATACACACACAGACATCACAATACAAATGACCTCCAAAACTCCAACATATCTATCCATCTTTCAGAGTAAAGGCATTGTACTGAATCTCCCCAGGACTTAAGGTCAGATAACCAGTTCCTCTGAACTCTTTTATAAATGTTACCTTGCTCACACTCAAACAGCACATCAAATCCCAAAAACCACATGTTTCTACTCATTACTAACACCCCTACAAATGTGAAAATTTGATCAAAATTGTAAAAGTATCATCCCTCAGCACAATATCTTTAACTTCTGGAACAATTCTGCTCTACCATGATATTTAAAGGATGAAAAAAAATAGTTGAATTTACAAAGAATTTTGGCCTACAAGGGAAATTCAGTGCTTTTGCCAATAAAAAATGTTAAACACACTAATACTCACAAGCCAAAACTAAAACAAAGACAAAATTTAAAACTAAGACAAAAAACATTCCAATCAACAAGCACACAAGAAAAACTCATAAATCAAATATTCATTAAATCATTAACGTCAAAACACCCCCTAAAATTTTCCTGAGTAATTATAAAAAAGACCAAGGCTTAGGGAAAAAAAAAGTTAAAATGTCTTACACAGTCAGCAGCTTGCCCCAAGTCTCACAGAGAGGAGCAGGTGCTACCATAAGCAGGTGTCCATGGATGAACTGAGTGTATCTTATACTCAATATACAGAGAATATTCTCATAGTAATGAGTCTTGTTGAAAGAGGAGGGCCACACACACCATGTCCTCCGTATAACATGTTTCTTGTCTGTGGGGTCTACCCCATGCCCCATAGGCCCATGAAATCACCATGGCCAAATTGGTCAGAAAAACCTACCAAATTTCTTCTTCTGACTTTTATAAAAAATCAATAACAGTATTTAATAAATTTATAGAAGCTATTAATTTATAAATTCAACAATATCTCATATAATTATTATACTAGATAATAATTACTATATGACAATTCACATGCAGGATGTTGTGCTTAATCACTGAAGCAGCTGATATACTGCTGTGGGTGGTGTAACAATGTGGTATACTGATTTACCGTGATGCTACTTAGTATGAAATGTTAGGTGCCCAGTAAGTGCATTTTACCCACTTTTCCTATGATATGTTCTCATTCTTCCCTGCCAGGTGCCTCTCCATCACATGAAAGAGGTAAGGGAAGATTGTGGAAGACAATTAATGATGGTAACGATGATTTTACCTAGGGAAGCAGCATGCAGGAGACAATTGCCATCACCAGTGGTTGCCAAAGGCCACAATCGTTGGGAAGCTCCAACTAGTGCCCACCAATTTAGGCGACCAGCCCCCTCCAAGGACACCAGTGTTGATGTCTCTATCAGATCTCTCTCCAAAAATAATCGAAATTCATCTGAAAAACATAATGAATTATTATTAAATGTTTAGCAGCAATTTTTCTGACACACCGACCATCTCCCACCAAGGATGGGTAACCCCCAAAAATAAAAAATAAAATACATTCACTATTAATCATTCAAGCGCTGTCTTCCAAGAAGTGTGCAGACATAATCACTGATGGGTGAAATACAAAGATTATTAATCAACTTTCTCAAAATCTTAAAAGCTGCATTTTTGGGATCAAAATACATATTATACATACTGAACATGATAATCTGAGGCAGAACTGAAGCGATGTAAAAATAAACATACTTTTACTTTTTCACAATCAAACCTTATTTTTTATGCAGTAGCAGTTTTAACAGGCAAGCTGCTCATTCTTTAACCATTAAATACTTGATGGAAATTCAGTTTCAGTATGGTTAAGTATTACTACGGTACTATATTTGCTACAGTTATACTGTGATGGATATGTGAGTCAGCAGACCACCAACAGCAACAGCCTGCTTGACCAGGTAAGCACCAGATGAGCCTGGTTTATGGCTGGGCACTGAGAGTAGAAAAACTCTCAGAACTCATCAAAGGTATATCAAAGTTATACAGTACTGCTTATTTATGTAAACTGAGTTGTTATTGTTGAAGCTGAATGCAATAATGTTGAACGTAACTTCATTAAATATAAAGACAAAACGCAGAATAGAAAAATTGTTTAGAAACTGACAACTATTCAGAAGCAAATATAAAAACTTACCTGAATATATGCTAAGATCTGGTAATGTAAAAGTGAAAATAGGAGTTTCTATGAAAAATGGTGTGCGGCTGGAGTCTATGGCTTCCCATATCTCTTGGGCAAACTCAGACCTAGCCTTCGATACTATATTGACATTATCAGTAGCTTTTGATATTCCCCGACTCAATTTTTTATCTGAAAAGAAGCAAGACTATTATATTACTTTACTGAGATTAAAATATGTCTACAAGAATGTGTACTCATGAATCATTTTTTGTTCACAATTAACCCACAAACTGATGAAGCTAGAAGTTGTTTAATGCATTCTGGACCACTATCCAGTCATGATAGAAAAAGGAAAAAAGCTAGAATTCATGACAAGTGAAAGAGGTTAGATGGCCAAGGTCAAGTCATGTGAGCTCCAAAGCTTCACGCATTCAACACTGCACTGGGAAAGGCAAGCAGTTAATATGCAAAGCTAAGGATATAATTAATATTAGGCATCTGGTGTGTATAAGAGGACCAGTTCATGGAATGACTATGGTCTCTAACATGGTAGCTAATTTTAACAAGACAAATACTTCATTTGTGCTCTTAATTTTATCAGAAAGGAACTGGCCTTTTTCACCAATGTATAGAAGATAGCAAGAGGAACAGGAAATAGAAAAAGCACGTAAATTATCAAAGAATAAAAGTCTCATTACCCTGGTTGGAACAATTCACAAATAAGCACACTTGTTAAAAGAAACTACAGGAGACATTTCAGTTTATTCTGGACCATCATCAAATAACAACTGACTTGATACTGATCCAGGACAGACCAAAACATAGTCTAAAATTTAATCTCCTAAATGAGGGTTATTTGTGAACCTGAAGTTTTGTCCATAGTATTAAGAGTATAGTGGTGCTAACACTCTTATATGGATGTGAAGCATGGGTTGTAAATGCTGCTGCAAGGAGGCAGCTGGAGGCAATGTGTGGTGTAACTATTATGCAGAGAATTCGTAGTGTGGAAATTAGGAGGAGGTGTGGAGTTACTAAAAGTATTAGTCAAGAGGGCTGAAGTGGCCTGGTCATTTAGAGAGAATGGAACAAAGTAGAATGACTTGGAGAGCGCATAAATCTGTTGGGGAAGGAAGGTGGAGTAGGGGTCATCCCTGAAAAGATTGGAGGGAGGGGGTAAAGGAGGTTTTGTGGGCAAGGGGCTTGGACTTCCAGCAATCGTGCATGAGTGTATTTAGATAGGGGTGAATGGAGACAAATGGTTTTTGGGACCTGACGAGCTGTTGGAGTGTGAGCAGGGTAATAATTTATGAAGGGATTCAGGGACACTGGTTGGCTGGACTTGAGTCCTGGAAATGGAAAGTACATACAATGCATGCCCTTTAAAGGAGGGGTTTAGGATATTGGCAGTTTGGAGGGATGTCTAAACTGTTGCATCTGAGTGCCTCTGCAAAGACAGTGATTATGTATGCTGGTGAAAGTGTTGAATGATGAAAGTTTTTTCTTCCTTTTTGTGTCACCCTGCCTTGGTGGGAAATGGCCAATAGGTCAACCCTTAAACAGTCCAAACGTAGATCTACGTTTGCATGCGTAGAGCTCCGAACGTAGATCTACATTTTTTTACATAAGAAAAAATATAAAATCGAATGTAGATCAACGTTTGGAGCGCTACGTGTGCGAACATAGATCTATGTTTGGACAGTTTAAAGGTTAAAAAAAAAAAAAAAAAGGGGTGTTGCTTAAATTTTGTAAATTAGAAACATACACTGTGGGTTAAGGAGAGAGCACATGAAGATTAGGCAGAGTTTATGAGAATAGGAGAGCAAATATGAGAATGAACTGTGAAGAATTTATATTTCAGAGTTGAGAAACTAAGGACAATGGATGTGGAGGAGAGAAACAGGAACACTTCTCGCAATAGCTTATGCAAAGTAAGGAAAGTAAAGAATGTTACATGCCACTGTGCATGGGTTTGTGGTATAATGAAAAAGAAAAGCACCACAGAGTGGTGAACATAAACATCAAGGTAAGGAAGAGGTGAGTAAGATTCCCATTCAGCTTTAAACTTGATAGTCAGAGTAAAATTTTTAAGAGCAAGTAGAGAGGGTTGGAAGAGATTCGAATCATCTGGCCTGAGAACAAACACATAATTTATGCAATTACGTCAAAGAGATAGACATACACCGATAGCAAGTAGTAGTAGTTTCAAAACAATCCATATATTCCATATCAAGTACAGTTCTGTACATTTATATTGCAGATCTATGTAACATGTTTAAAATTAAATTTCAAATGACTGACACATTTCTGGAGACACCATACTCTGTGCTAAAGGGAAATATACATTAATATACTTTATGAATCCTATTGAAAATATGTAAAATATACAGTATGGATGAACAAGTTTGAAGACAATATGCAAAAATGCTTTTACTGAAATCCTGTTCTTCATATACAGTAGTGTCACTGTACCCACACCTGCTGGTATTGTCTGCTACACCTTTACATCCAGTATGGATGAAGACACAACATCTATAATAATTAGTATAGAAATATTTATATGAATCAAATGATAGTAATCAGTTAATTTATTTAGTAACATACAGTACTTGTACGTGTGCCATACTTACAGTTATCTTTCTACTTTAATGAAGGATATATTCAAAAAGCAAAACCAATAAATCAAGTTTAATAAGGCCTAAAAGTATTAACAAATAAAAAAATACTTACAATAATCATATTCTTCCAAATCAACTGCTTCTGTTTTGCGCAGTAATGGCTTAGCAGGTGAACATGGGGCAGAGAGCGAAGGTCCTGATCCAGAACTGGCAAGAATTGATACCTCAGGCCGTTGTACTCTATCCACTTCATCAACCGCATACTTCTCTCCATCAACAATTTTCCTAGCTACACTATCAGTTAATGGAGGGTCTTTCTGATTAGTATTTCTTTCTAACACTCGAGATTCTCGGCAGTCACAGACACAGTTACTCTCTCGGTCATTTTTATCCTTAAATCCAGGAGGACACAAGTAGTCTTTCGGAGCATCCACATTTATAATTCGTACTAACTTTGAGTCTCTTGCATGTGTATCAATGCTATTAGTGATTGAGGAGATAATCACACCTGACGGACCAGTGGCAAAAGGCACAGCTGATGACGAGTACAGTGACAAGTCTTTGGAAGCAGCCTGCATAGAGTATGAGGAAGGTGATGAATGGGATGAAGCATTGTAAACACTGTTCGTTGTCTGACTTGCAGTGGAAAGGGTTCCTGAGTCATTCACAGAATGTGAAAAATCATCTAAATATATATTATTATTTTTATTAGTATTATTATTAGGATTATTGACACTTATTATACAGCTACTATTAACAGTTATTTGCGAAGAAATAGTTGAGTTTTGTGACATGGAGGCACCCCTGGTGGAGCCATCATATGCAGGGTTCCTTTGGCTCTCCAGGAGGCTTGCTGATGTACCACGAACTTTTTCTATAAGAAGGGCATTCTTTGCACTTCCACTTTGAGGTTTTGACGGATATTTATTTATACTAGGCACTGAAGAAGTTGCCACTGGGGTCGTGCAAGATGAGTAGTCCAGACCTTGACAAGAGTTCTGAGAACGATTAATGCTGCTGCAGCATTTTTGTAGTGGTGGTAAACTACTGACCCGTGATGTACTAATGCTCTTATTATAAGGATCAACTATAATGCCTGCTACAGGAAGGACTTCTGGACCCACTAGAGGCAAAACATGGGATAAGATGGGTGTTCCAGACTGTCCTTCATGATAAAGCTTGGGCAGAGCTCCAACCTTCCTCACTCTTGGCGGTGGGAGAGGTGCCAATTTGGAGCCACTGGGTGATCTTCCATCAGGTAAATGTCTAGTATCAGAAGTGGGTTTAAGATCAAAAACAGGCTTAGGAGCTACTGGAGGCTTGAGTGAAGAACCGAAATTTGGTGGTGAAGATCGCACTGGCCCTGAGTGATGAAAGGGACTGGCCCCTCTTAGCACCGTAAATAGCCGCACAGCGGCCTTGACATCCCAGTTCTCACCTGTAAATACATTTATATTGATAGTTGTATCTAAAAAGTATCAAACAAATTATAGTACAGAATTAATATAAAATTAAAACTAAAACATGTAGTAAGTATCTATAATGTAATGCACTGTAACCTGAATCTCACATATGACTGTCAGGTAATGCTAAAAAAAATATGTAACTGAAATGCAAGGCCAATTCCTATAGTGTATTAAAATAAACTGCCTAAATATATTATTATTTTATTATTAACACACTGGCCGATTCCCACCAAGGAAGGGTGGCCCGAAAAAGAAAAACTTTCACCATCATTCACTCCATCACTGTCTTGCCAGAAGGGTGCTTTACACTACAGTTTTTAAACTGCAATATTAACACCCCTCCTTCAGAGTGCAGGCACTGTACTTCCCATCTCCAGGACTCAAGTCCGGCCTGCAGGTTTCCCTGAATCCCTTCATTAATGTTACTTTGCTCACACTCCAACAGCACGTCAAGTATTATAATATACAGTGGAACCTCAAAAATCGAACTTAATCAGTTCCAGGAGCTAGTTCTAAATTCGAAAAGTCTGAAATTCGAAGCAATATTTCCCATAAGAAATAATGGAAATACAATTAATCCGTTCCAGAAACCCCAAAAAATTCACACAAAAAATACATTTTATAAAGATTAATTACAGTTTTACATACAACAAATACTCTAGTTTTTAATTATGTATAGTAAGACATATAAAATAACATTTTTACTTACCTTTACTGAAGATTGGTGATGGCATTTGGAAGATAGGGAGGAGGAGAGAGGGAGTTGGGGTTAGTGTTTGGAAGGAGAATCCCCCTCCATGAGGACTTCAGGTAAAGCCCTCTCTGGGGTTACTTCCCTTCTCTGTCTTTTAATGCCACTAGGACCAGCTTGAGAGTCACTGGACCCCTGTCTCACAAAATAACTGTCCACAGTCCTCTGTTTCTGGCGCCTCTTTAACATTTCCCTAAAATGGGACATGGTTCTGTCACTGAACTTGTTGCAAAGATGGCTTGCTCAGGGTGGTACTTTTGCACAAACATTTGGACATCATTCCACTTGGCACAAATCTCCTTAATCTTTGAAGAAGGCACCTCATCCACTCCCTATATTAACATCTTCCGCAACATCAGCTTCCTTGATTTGTTCTTTCTTTGACAGGATAGAACCGATGGTCGACTTGTTTTTCCCATACATCCTGGCAAGCTCAACTAGTCTCACACCACTCTCATACTTCTGTATTATTTCCTTCTTCATATCTATGGTGTTTCTCACTTTCTTTACCACAGGGGTACCACTAGCAAGTTTCTTTGGGCCCATGGCAGCTTATTTCACAGTCCCACAAACACTAAACACAACGAAATAATCGTAAAATGCGTGAATGAGAGCGCAGGTTAGTGTTCACTCAAGCATAAACAAAGCTAGACTGCTCATGGCACCTGCGCTGGGACGTGGACAGAGTGGGCTGGCAGACAGGTCCCGTACCCGGCGGTCCGAAAATAGGGGCACGTTTGATAATAGGGACACAGTTTGTCCGAAAAAATGGTCCTATTTTCGAAACGTTCGATATGTGATACGTTTGATTTTTGAGGTTCCACTGTACATATATAAATTTAAGAGATATTATAGTGGCAGATATATAATTCAAAACCACTATGTTTTTACTGTGTACTGATGTCATTTCCTGTTTTTAAAGTAGGATTGTGCATGCTGACTTACATGTACTCAACTACCAGTACTAAATGTTGAACCTTTATAAATTTCATATCACATTCTATAGCCCCAGTATTCAGATACAAGTGGTAGATATTGAGTCTTTTTGAAAATCCATAACTTGTTCTGTAGCCCCAGCTGAGTGGAATGAAACCTAGGTGAAAGAAATCATTCAACACCCCTCGCAGTTCCTTTGTATCTAATTTTTGTGTGTCCCCACATTCCCATTTCATACAATTTGAGTAGTCTTTCCCTGTCCACTTATCATATCCTCTTCAGTGTTTTTTAGGTCATAATCAACACCTCTGGCCAATCTACCTTCTAATATCACCATATTCTTTTCAGATATTCTCTCCCTAAAGTTCATTCCCCTTAGTACCAGGACAGGTCTGAGGTATGTTATTGCTTATTTGTAGTAACAGGAGCAGAGCTAAGTTTGTGACCTCCCATCTTGAATACTATATTAATCACAGTGCATAATTCTGTAAAAAATCCTCCACTTGTAACCCATTCCAATATTATACCACTCTGTTCACAATTTTTTTTAGGTAAATATCCTTACAACATTTCCTCTTATTCATTCTGCTGAAGGCTTGTTATCTGTTTTGTTAGTTGTTCTGGGAATTATTTTTTCCATGGTCTGGTCTCAGACCAGGCCTCCTAGGATGGAAAGGAAATGCTACAGGATAGCACAAAGTAAAAGTATGTGTATACTGGACGTCAGTAGAAGCTTGTAAGATTTGCCTGTCATATATATCCCATAAGACAGAAATGATCAGCAATCCTGCCAGAATAGAAAAACTTAAAAGGTTTAAATTTTGCACTTAATAGATCAATTCTTTCATATCCTTCTAAAACCTTATAAAGGGCTATTATGTTTACATTCTTTCCTATAATCAATGAAGGAATGTGAAATACTCTCAACCTATCTTTTACACTCTTTTTGTTTTAGCTCCAGGAACTATTTTCTAACTCATCTTTGGAACTTTTCTAGCCTGTCTGTGTGTGTTTCTGTGCATGCAAAAAAAAAAAAAAAAAAAAAACCAGACTGTAATAGCTGTAAGTAATATGACCAGTAATGAACAAACCAAAAAAGCTTACTCTGCAGGATTTGTCGAGCGAGGACTGGGTCAGCTTGTGTGTAGGAAATAAACTCTGTTACTTTCTCCGCCTCCATCCCAAACCTAAAAAATTGTTAACCAGTTTAATTATCATGAGTAATAAATCTTAAGCAAAAGAAAAACATTCATTTTTTTTTTATTAACACACTGGCTGTTTCCCACCGAGGCAGGGTGATCGATGAAGAAAAAGACACTTTCATCATCACTCACTCCATCACTGTCTTGCCAGAGTTCAATAATTGCAACATATCTCCACTCCTTCAGAGTGCAGGCAATGTACTTCCCACCTCCAGGACTCAAGTCCGGCTCACTGGTTTCCCTGAATTCCTTCATAAATGTTACTGCGCTCACACTCCAACAAAATACCAACCCCCTTAACTCCTTTAAAATACAGAAATGATACGGTCTATATCAAATAAGGAAAACAACAAATTTAAATTTATACACTAGCCCCCAAAACTGCTCATATTTTCTGTAGGCCATATAGAAGATAAATTAAATATGTACATTATCATATTTCCACTGCTTCATGAAATCCAAAGTTCAAGTAGTTAATGAGTTGCCAGGTCAAGCCCATTTGCCTGAAATGCATTTGCATACTAATGGCTTTCTTTTGTGTCTAACACTATTACATGTGAACCACATTATCATATCATGGGCGGGATTTGAACCCGCAGTCAGAGTCTCAAAACTCCAGACCGTCGCGTTAGCCACTGGACCAGGTAGCCACAATAAGATTCGTCCAACTAGGTATATTTCTACACCATAGGAAGGTTAGCATAGGCACCACTGTGACCACAAATGCAAGTGTCATTTCGAACCACATTATCTTTGTACAACACAAAAAAGAAATAAAAATTAGAATTTGAACAGGCCAAATAAGTTTATTGAGACACAGGTACACATAAGTACAATTATCATACATAATGTAAATTATCTAGGATAAACCAAAAAAGTCAAACTGACTTATGCTTAAACATTTATTTTATTTTATTATCACACTGGCCGATTCCCACCAAGGCAGGGTGGCCCGAAAAAGAAAAACTTTCACCATCATTCACTCCATCACTGTCTTGCCAGAAGGGTGCTTTACACTACAGTTTTTAAACTGCAACATTAACACCCCTCCTTCAGAGTGCAGGCACTGTACTTCCCATCTCCAGGACTCAAGTCCGGCCTGCCGGTTTCCCTGAACCCCTTCATAAATGTTACTTTGCTCACACTCCAACAGCACGTCAAGTATTAAAAACCATTTGTCTCCATTCACTCCTATCAAACACGCTCACGCATGCCTGCTGGAAGTCCAAGCCCCTCGCACACAATGTTATGTATAGTTATTGCCAAGTTGAATTCATTTCTATAATGCTCACATCACAATATAGCTGTAAAACGTGTCAATGATATGTCCAATGTAATGTAGGTCAATGGGAGGTAATCACAGATGATCCAAGGAAGGGGAGGGCAAGTCCAATATTTGGACCAAGAGCCCACAATATCAAAGTGCCTCCACTGACAAGTGTATGTATATATGTACTCACCCATATGTGGCTGCAGGAGTTGAGCCTCAGCTCCTGGCCCCACCTTTTCGCTGACTGCTAGCACGTTCGCGCTCCCCTGGCTTAGAAAGCCCTATCATACCCCTTCTTAAAGCTATGTACAAATCTGAAGGACCCAAATGAAAATAAGTCAGTGCCTGACTTTTTTTTTTTGGTTATCCTGGGTAATTTACACTATATACAATAACTATGCTTGTGTGTACCTGTGCCTAAATAATCTTATTAATCCTGCCTCTACCACAGTGATGTCCAGATTGTTCCAATTCTTGATCACACAATTGACAAAGAAATATTTCCTTACATCTCTGGGGCTCATCTATGTTTCCAACTTTCAGTTGTGCCCTTGCGTACCCATTTCCTGTCTCCTGAGCAATCTGTTCCTGTTCATCCTAAAATAGCCAGTATTCGGTATGCTGTTATCATATCGCCCGTCGTTCTCCTCTAATTAACGATGCCTGGCTTATGCAGATTTATCAGTTTAATTTCCCCTTGAGGGAGGCTCCTTGATGCTGGTGAGGGGTTCTTGATCTAAGGAATTGGAGCTATGCTCCAGTTCTTTGAACTGAGTGTAAATGCTTCACATTTCTTCAGGCATTGTTTGACCCCTGTGGGTTTAGCGCTCCCCAACGAATATAATTATTACAATGAAAACTAAGCACTAAACCCACAAGGGTCATACAGAGCTGAATAAATGCAATAATAATCACAACTACGAACATTTTCATATCTTTGTACCTAAATCCTAGCTGAAGGGCTCTTCATCCAGGGAATATGAGTTAACCACATCCCCCTTTTATCCTTGGATCAAACCTCTAACCCCTCACCCTGAGGCACTGCATGAACCCCCTACGGGTCTAGCACTTCCCTATTATTGCAAATAAATTAAGGAACCCCAATGGAAATAAGTCACTGACTTTTTTGGAGATTATCTTAGGTAATCTACACATATGCTGCTATGTATGATAATTTATATAACTGTATTTATGTATACCTGTACCTGAATAAACTTACTTACTTACTAAAGCCATGAAATAACGGTAATTAAGCCGTCATGATCACCCTGGAGGGACGAGTCTGGTAGCCTTGACCCACATATAGTGGCTGGCAGGGCATTACAAGAGGCATAGTGGCACTCTACCTTCACTTATGAGTAAGGTAAGGCTCGGAGCACCCAGGGAAGATGATCTATGTCATTATTTGCAGCAGGAGGAGAGTGGTAGACGGTAGAGACGCATCCATCAGCTGACTCCCGTCTGTCAGCCATGTTATGCTTTATACTCATGTATCTCTTCTCTTACTTTCACTTCAATAAATATGTCTTCCCATTAGATGTGTATTGAACAATACTTTAAAAATATAATTCGGGGAAATTATAGCTACTGTTAGTTCTCATTATCCGATAAGTTTTATTTTAAAGAGTAAAAGAATTAAGAAATGAATCTGAGTAAAAGAAAATTGCGTTAGTTCCAATAATAAAATGTCTACATTTGTTTATACATAAAAAAAAAACCTTAACAATTCGCTAACAGGCGAAATTATTCTGGGGTCTGAGTCCGTAGGTAAATTACTGTGGACTCTTGATACAGAGTTTGCAGGTTCGAGTCCTGCTGTGGACGTAGATACAATGTTTGTAAATAATTTCGCCTGTTTGCGAACTGTTAAGTATTTCAAATCTCTTTCGTTATTTCAATAAATCCTGCCACTGCACATGGCAGGATTTATTGAAATAACTTTCAAAACAAGCCTGGTGCCCCGGGGGTACGGGGAAACGCCGTCTAGTTCGGCTAGACGCCCATACTTATCTGGGGTCTGGCTCCGTGGTAAAGTATTGTGTACTCTGATACAGTTTACAGGTTCGAGTCCTGCATAATAATATTTTTATTTACTACAAGTACATGCACAAGGTATACAGACCATAGCTGACATCAATGACATACTACTATACAGAAAGCCGCTTGTTATGCAGAGCATTTCGGGCAAATTAGGTCAGTTTTGTCCCAGGATGCGACCCACACCAGTCCACTAACACCCAGGTACCCATTTTACTGATGGGTGAACATAGACAACCGGCATTTAGAAACACGCCCAATGTTTCCACCCTCACTGGGAATCGAACCCAGCACTCGCCGTGTGAAGCGAGAGCTTCAGCCACTGGACACCCTGACACAAATTTTTTTTTAAATAATACAATAATTATGTGAGTCTGGCCATAACCTACTTTTAAAAATATCCAATATTAGGGGCCTTTTGTCTTAATTTTTTTGCTGATGTGCAAATAACGTAACCCAATCTAACATAACTAAACTTGCTCCTCCAGCGGTAGATGGGACTGACGCGCCTTTGTTTACATTCAACTAGTCTTTACGTTCGTTGTGATTGGCCAGGAGTGTCAATACTGGCCATTGATTGGCCCTGACACTGCACGTTCTAAAATAAATGTATCATTGGTGAATATTCCACCAAAAATTAATTTGTACAACAAATAGTAATTTGTGATAGGATATAGGTAACGTGTTTATATTTAAAAAAATTAAGAATGATTTTCAGAGAAGATAATAAACGTACCTCAGGGAAAACTCAAGGTTCTCCCCGGAGCTGTTTGAATATTTTCTTCTCCTACCACCCCCTATAATTTGTATGTTATATATGTACTTTATTAATAGACAGAATACATTGATAGAAGACACAAACATGAATACATTGGTACAGTATATCAAAGGTTATGAATTTCCTCCGAAGCTGGATGCGAGCCCAGTATGCAGCAAGCATTTCCCCTCTGGATGGCCATGCTGAGGCTCTGGAACATGGAAGTGGCTGCTTTTGGGTCCCTGGTGGTGCCGATGAGTCTGGAACCCAATTCTTTAAGGAAACGTGTGGCATTTTCCCCATATATATATATATATATATATATATATATATATATATATATATATATATATATATATAATATATATATATATATATATATATATATATATGGCCATTTTCTGGCCAATGATATTACAGCAATTTTAGTGTTAGTTTGTGGTGCAGATTCCGAATATGTCATCGGTTTTGCTTGATTGGCTCTAGTTTTTGATAAATTTGGCATCCCATTGAAAAAAAAACATAAAAGATGCGAAAAAAATATATTGATCAGGCTGGTCTAGGTTACAAGTCTCAGTGAAATTATTTTTTCGATCATGCAAAACTGGAATCATATGATACAAATTAGGATTTCATTCTATATAATAACAGATTAACATAGTAAGATACTTCAGATACCAGTAATTACTGAATATGACAACGTTCTTTGTATAGTGTTATTGTAAGCTGGTCACCAGCACTGTTGTGTTGGGTGAGCACTTGGAAGAGATGGATCATGGTTAACATTGTGCAATAAAACACATTTGTTTGTAATGGAACTGTCTATAACCAGCCGCCAGTATCATAGTCGATATTCGACTCCCATTCGATGAGGTCCAGAAATGCCGGAAATGCTCAGGCATGCTAGTGGCTTTCTTTGTACTGTGTTATTGTAGTATGCAAGTTGTTCATCTTGGCTGAAGTAAGGAAGGAGTTCAACCTCTCTTGTCTGATAAACTGTTATTTTATCTTCTTGTTGTAGACACTTCTTTTCTTTTAATCTGGATGCTAAAAGTTCATATGCTGGTTTTGACAGACTGAAGTGACGTATCAGATCATTGAGTTCTTCTTGGGTGAACTGCTAGGCTGTTGAAATGCTTGCTTCATATTCACTTCCAGTGTTATCACTTGTGTTACATCCTAAACCCTGAGTTTCTTCATCATCTGACACTGGAAGGTCAGACAAGTATTATAAACACTGGTATGATAATGTCTTTACTGTGTGGCACAGTCATCCTTGCTGACTCCACATCAAGATATTCCCACTTGACTTTCTTCTATCGATTGAAACCTTTCACATTTACCAAACAGAAATAACAATTGTCGTGGTGGTTTTCATCTCTCTCTACACCATAGACACACCCAAGTTTAAAGTTTTCCTTTGCCTAGTTTTCCACTGTCGCCATCATTCTACACAGGTTTTTGCAAATCATATAGGGAGCCCAAGACTTGTTATGTTCTCCAGGAGCCACTCCAAAATAAGCAAGATAGCTTTGTTTTACAAAATCTGTTATGTTTTTTCTTTGCTTTTTTTGCGAATTGCCACAAATGTAGCAAAATGCAAGCTGTTCGTGAGGAAATCATTTATGCAAAATTAATAACAAAATAAAGATTACAATATTGCCACATAGTCATTATTGACACAACACCTTCCCCTTGAATATTAAATTAAATATTTTTAAAACTAATAACCATAAATGTAAACGCATTGTATGATAATGTTAAGAAAGTGTTGGATATGAGATATGTGTGAGAGTCTCTGCATGGACGTGGTCCTCCTGCAGGAATTTAATGTAAAATGAAGGTTAGGACCTCCATATCAAAGGATGAGTTACAGTGCTGAGAAGGAGCGCAGTTTGTGTGTATGTACTAACCTATGTGTGGTTGTAGGAGTCGAATCATAGCTCCTGGCCCCGTTTCTTGGCTACTAGGTCCACTCTCTCCCTGCTCTCAAAAGCCTTCTTATCGCGCGTGTGTGTGACAACAGAATGTGACGTAAGCGTCCAGATTTTTTTTTTACAGAAAAGAGTTTCGGTATATAGTCTGCGTGTCAGGGGACGGGAAGTGAATCATACGAAGGAAGGGTGTCTCATGTATGAAGGAAGGGTGTCTCATGTATGAAGGAAGGGTGTCTCATGTATGAAGGAAGGGTGTCTCATGTATGAAGGAAGGGTGTCTCATGTATGAAGGGAGGGTGTCTCATGTATGAAGGAAGGGTGTCTTATGTATGAAGGAAGGGTGTCTTATGTATGAAGGAAGGGTGTCTCATGTATGAAGGAAGGGTGTCTTATGTATGAAGGAAGGGTGTCTCATGTATGAAGGAAGGGTGTCTCATGTATGAAGGAAGGGTGTCTCATGTATGAAGGAAGGGTGTCTTATGTATGAAGGAAGGGTGTCTTATGTATGAAGGAAGGGTGTCTCATGTATGAAGGAAGGGTTCTTATGTATGAAGGAAGGTGTCTCATTATGAAGGAAGGTGTCTTATGTATGAAGGAAGGGTGTCTCATGTATGAAGGAAGGGTGTCTCTGTATGAAGGAAGGGTTCCTGTATGAAGGAAGGGTGTCTATGTATGAAGGAAGGGTGTCGTGTATGATTAAGGGTGTCTCATGTATGAAGGGAGGTGTCTCATGTATGAAAGGGTGTCGTATGTAAAGGAGGGTGTACTCATGTATGAAGGAGGTGTCTCATGTATGAAGGGAGGTGTCTCATGTATGAAGGCCGGTGTCTCATGTATGAGGAGGTGTCTCATGTATGAAAGGGAGGTTCTCATGTATGAAGGAAGGGTGTTACATGTATGAAGGGAGGTGTCTCATGTATGAAGGGGTGTCTCATGATGAAGTGGAAGGGTGTCTCTGTATGAGGGACGGGAGTGTCTCGTGTATGAAGGGAGGGTGTCTCATGTATGAAGGAAGGGTGTCTCGTGTATGAAGGGAGGGTGTCTCGTGTATGAAGGGAGGGTGTCTCGTGTATGAAGGAGGGTGTCTCATGTATGAAGGAGGGTGTCTCTGTATGAAGGGAGGGTGTCTCATGTATGAAGGGAGGGTGTCTCATGTATGAAGGAGGGTGTCTCGTGTATGAGGAGGGTGTCTCGTGTATGAAGGGAGGGTGTCTCGTGTATGAAGGAGGTGTCTCGATGTATGAAGGGAGGGTGTCTCGTGTATGAAGGGAGGGTGTCTCGTGTATGAAGGAAGGGTGTCTCGTGTATGAAGGGAAGGTGTCTCATGTATGAAGGAAGGGTGTCTCGTGTATGAAGGGAGGGTGTCTCATGTATGAAGGAAGGGTGTCTCGTGTATGAAGGGTGTCTCTGTATGAAGGAATGGTGTCTCGTGTATGAAGGAAGGGTGTCTCGTGTATGAAGGGAGGGTGTCTCGTGTATGAAGGGAGGGTGTCTCGTGTATGAAGGGAGGGTGTCTCGTGTATGAAGGAAGGGTGTCTCGTGTATGAAGGGAGGGTGTCTCATGTATGAAGGAAGGGTGTCTCGTGTATGAAGGGTGTCTCATGTATGAAGGAAGGGTGTCTCATGTATGAA